GTTAGAGAGGAAAAAAATAGTATTCACAAACAAGTCCCACTTATTGTTTCTGTTCGTAAAAGGAAATTGCAATTTTTTGGTCATATTGTTCGTTCCGGCTGTTTGTCATTGACTGTTCTTCAGGGTTGTGTTGCTGGAGGTCGTTGCCGAGGCAGGCCCAGAATGTCATGGCTTGATAATATTATTTCATGGACTGCACTTGACGTGCAGTCCCTGCTCGCTGCTGCACGCGATCGATTTTTATGGCGCTCACTTGTTCATACTTGCTCTGTGACGCCCCGACGGCCTTAGGGCTTGTGGTGATGACTATTTACGTCTTGATGCTTACTTCGGTGCTAGCGTGTTTCCCCCGGATTATTTCTATCATGCGTGTTCTTGGGCTGAGCGAGCACATGCACGAGTGTGCGGCTATAACCCTGTGTATCTTTGGTTTCACTTTGTTCTGCAATGCATATACCTTGTAACAGTATGTGCTTGCACTGCTTTGTGTGGCCTGCGTATTTCAGGACTATTCAGTGCATTAGACCCAGGTTGGTTTGGTTGCCGGATGATCTCTTGTTGCTGTTGCGTCGCTCTGTGTTTTGTATTCATCAATTTTTGGGCTTGAGAATTGAGCTGGTGTGTGGTTCCCAATATCAAAACATCATGCTGGTGCTCTGTGTTTTGATTATCGACTGTCCGAGCAGTCGCGATTCATTACCAGAACGGTCAATACTGTAGTCTCTTGACGTGTTTGTCTTTTTGTGTTTTCGCCGGGGGAATTAGCGGTGACGTTGCACATAGAACGGCAGTGTTGCATCACTGGACGACCCTGCCTCTGACTTCATGTCCCCAGGATCTGGTGCAGATACGCCAGACAGTCACTTCCGGTAAACACGCAAACAGCAAAAGAAGAGATCCCGCAAATCAGGAAAAACCATTGTGGAAAATATCGAGTAGATCATACACCATTCAATAATCTGGAGTAATTACAGTGAGACAAACACTTCAGTGCTCTCTCTCTCTCTCTCTCTCTCTCTCTCTCTCTCTCTCTCTCTCTCTCTCTCTCTCTCTCTCTCTCTCTCTCTCTCAATCCTTCCAAAATACCCTGTAACAATTTCCTAGAATTATTTTATTTTAATATATTCTCAGGACATCATTCTGAACATAATAACTTCTTCCATGGGTCTTCAATCACCACGGAGGGCGAGAGTATATCTAAGTCATGCAGTTTACGGGAGGTGCGAGCTGTCATGGATATAGAGGCTGATATTATTGTGCCAGCGTGAGGGCAGAGACAGAAAGAAGACACTGATTTCTTGACCAACTCACCTACATAATAATCGAATCCACAGGGAGCGCTCGTACTTTGATCCATCAGGACGCGAAGAATCTTCAAAGCACTCTCAAACACGGAGTTTTACAGTGGGCAGCCAATTTCACAGCCATTATGAAGGCCCTCGACGACTACAGGAGATTTGTAGAGGAAAGAACAAGGAGTAAAGAGCGACAACAATCGCTTGAAGAAAAAGCAAAGAAAAACTGCTCTCTCTCCAGTCATTTAGATGCTGTTGCCTTTGACAACTGGTTCCATCCAGAGGACGCGACTTTTGTTTGTCCCCAGTGCTCTCCGTTGCTATGCGTATCGAAGGGGCCGTGACGTCACACTTAACAGCCCCATTGTACATGATGTGTGATGTTGTTGTTGTAATAATATTATTAAATTTTTACTTGGGCATTCCCAACAGACCCTAAGGTCTTCTTACAGGGTGCCCAAGATGAATGAAATTGTTAAAAGTTCCTGGCGAAATGAATTGGGGCGAGGCAGTGGACGTAGGCAGTGCTGGCGTACTCGAGCTTGCTCTGGACTACTGACAAGTAGAACTGCCTTGTGGCCTGGACAGCAAGGTTCCTCCTTCCACGCCGAAAAGCACCTAGTTTTTTTCCGATGTCTTCCCTCAAATATGCATCTAAGTGCTCTCTTACTTATGCGTAGCAGCTGATCTCTCACTTTGTCGGCGAGGCAGTGGCCGTAGGCAGTGCTGGCGTACTCGAGCTTGCTCTGGACTACTGACAAGTAGAACTGCCTTCTGGCCTGGACAGCAAGGTTCCTCCTTCCACGCCGAAAAGCACCTAGTTTTTTTCCGATGTCTTCCCTGAGGGAGTTAACGTGGGCACTGAAACTTAATTAAAGTTGAATCGAGAGTCAGTCCTAGATACTTAAAGGGGAAGTATACCCTAAAATCAAATTTTCACCAGTTGTAGTCTTCGGGGTGCTGAGTCGAATGGTCTTGGTCCGAGGAAGCTGAGACGCTCCCTTCCTACTTGAATCCCAATCGAACTCGCGCACTTCCACCGAAACTGGGTGACTGCGCCCTACTAGATGGGGATTTGTATGCAAAATGTCACTAAAAGCGCCATTTCGTTCTTATAAAAGCACGGATGACCGCGATTGGCCCATATGTTGTAGTCTTTTGGACGCTGAGTCGACTGGTTTTGGTCCGAAAAGGCTGCGATGCAGCGTTCCTCCTTTATTCCCAATCGAACATGGTTGAACAAGTGGTCACGTGCTCCTGCGTACACCAGTCAGCTGGTCACCGTGCCTGCAGGGTACAACTAACTAGCCTGTTTGACCTTTTTTGGGTGCAGTCCTGTCACTCGAGTTGAACTCGAGTTGAACCTTGGTGTGAAAGTTGTCGCCTGCTGGCGCGGTGACCAGGTGATTTGGGCACCCAGGAGCACGTGACCGCTTGTTCAACCATGTTCGATTGGGAATAAAGGAGGAACGCTGCATCGCAGCCTTTTCGGACCAAAACCAGTCGACTCAGCGTCCAAAAGACTACAACATATGGGCCAATCGCGGTCATCCGTGCTTTTATAAGAACGAAATGGCGCTTTTAGTGACATTTTGCATACAAATCCCCATCTAGTAGGGCGCAGTCACCCAGTTTCGGTGGAAGTGCGCGAGTTCGATTGGGATTCAAGTAGGAAGGGAGCGTCGCAGCTTCCTCGGACCAAGACCATTCGACTCAGCACCCAGAAGACTACAACTGGTGAAAATTTGATTTTAGGGTATACTTCCCCTTTAACTTCGTCAGGCGAGGCAATAACAGTCGAACCACAGACAATGCTCAGGTTAGGTGGAGGATGTGAGCGTCTACTGTGGATCAGTAGTACTTGGTTCTTGCTGGAGTTCAGGAGCAGGCCGCAATCTGTGAGGATCTTCTTCTAAGTATGACATGAGAATTCGTGGACACTTTCCAGAGGCATACAGGGTGGTGTCGTCTGCATAAAGAAGGCATTGGGAACGCAATGGCAGAGTGGGGACAAGTCAGGTGTAGATGCTGAAGAGGGTAGGGCCTAGGACGGAACCCTGGGGGACGCCCCTAGTGCAGATTCTACAGTCACTTGTGGTTCCGTTCACTTCTACGCGTTGCTGTCGGTGAGACAGATACGACTTGAACCACTCAAGAGCATTTCCACGGATCTTCAGATTGTGAAGGTCATCTATTAGAGTTTGGTGGTGGACGCGGTCAAAGGCTTTGCTCATATCGAGCAGCAGTACGGCCGTATCGTCTCCGGTATCCATGCTTCTCTGCCAGTTATTGATGGCAAGTGTTAAAAGGTCCTCAGTACTGTGGTTCCGCCTGTATGCAAACTGTTCATTTGGAATTGCTCCGGGTGTGACCTCCAGATGGTCGTGAAGCTGCTGGAGCACTAGCGATTCCAAGACTTTGGAGATAATGGGCAGTAGCGAGACTGGGCGATAGTTGGAACTGTCGTAGGGGTCGCCTTTCTTTGGACACACAGACGCTAGTTTGTAGGCTGACGGTACCTTTCCGCTAGACAATGACTGGTTGAAGATGGAAGTTAAGGAATTAGCCAGCTCGGCGGCATGGTGTTTCAAGATGTAGGCTGGTATGCCGTCTGATCCAGATGCTTTCGTGGTATTCAATCGTTCGAGAATCTTCGTTACTGCTGCTGTTGTAACGGGTTGGAACTCGAGAAGGCAGTTGTCTAAACAGTCATCCGCCGGAGTGTCTGGGGTCGTAAGAGCAGCGCGGTGTTCATCATGGACGATATTGCCTAGGGTATCTGACAAAGATGAGAGGGAGGCTTTCAGTGTGGGGTGGGATTTTCTCCTTCCAGTTAGTTGATTCAGCACTGCCCATTGGAGTCTAGGATTTCCTGTAGCGGCACTGAACTTATCTTTGTAGTACTCTCTCTCTCTCTCTCTCTCTCTCTCTCTCTCTCTCTCTCTCTCTCTCTCTCTCTCTCTCTCTCTCTCTCTCTCTCTCTCTCTCTCTCTCTCTCTCTCTCTCTCTCTCTCTCTCCTCTCTCTCTCTCTCTCTCTCCCTCCCTCCCTCCGTCCCTCCCTCCCTCCGTCCCTCCCTCCCTCCCTCCCTCCCTCCCTCCCTCCCTCCCTCCCTCCCTCCCTCCCTCCCTCCCTCCCTCCCTCCCTCCCTCCCTCCTCTCTCTCTCTCTCTCTCTCTCTCTCTCTCTCTCTCTCTCTCTCTCTCTCTCTCTCTCTCTCTCTCTCTCTCTCTCTCTCTCTCTCTCTCTCTCTCTCTCTCTCTCTCTCTCTCTCTCTCTCTCTCTCTCTCTCTCTCTCTGTCTCTCTCTCTCTCTCTCTCTCTCTCTCTCTCTCTCTCTCTCTCTCTCTCTCTCTCTCTCTCTCTCTCTCTCTCTCTCTCTCTCTCTCTCTCTCTCTCTCTCTTTCTCTCTCTCTCTTCTATCTCTCTCTCTCTCTCTCCATCATTGCTTGCTCTCAGGTTCTCACT